GTTGCTTTGGAATGACATAAATGTGCAGAAGTGGTTTCATATGCAGAGAGTGAGGAGCAGGAGAGGCCTGAGGAGGCCCAGCTCCAGAAAAATAATCCCAGGCTGATTAGACTGATTCCTTCATGGAGGAACATCAACCGTCTCCTGTGACTCAATCTTTACACCTCTGTCCTGTCACTGTGCCCCTCCGCCGTTTACCGATGCTGCTAAAACAACAAGCACTCGGCCCCTCGCAGCGTCTCTAATGACGGAGCAGAAGCAGCTCAAAAAACAACACACACTTTTGGATATTTACCTATTTTGGTTGCGCTATAAATATTCTCGATAGGAAAGACGATTCCCAAGCCGTAGAGCAAAACCTTAGCCAGGGCCGGGATGAGCTGCGTGGTGGTCACCAGAATATTCACACAGTTTGACCTGGATTAGAGAAGCAAAAGAAGAGAAGAGAGAGAGAGAAAAAAAACTGTCAGCATGTTAAATCACTTAACAGGAGGACAAAAGAAAAACACAGCCAAAAGATTATACACACAAAGTCATGTATCAAATGTTCAAAACAACTCCTGCAAGACTCCATTTCAACACTGGTGTTTCTGAAACAAGGAGTGCGGGTGTTTACGTTAATATCCTGGGAGTATGAAGTTGACTTATTTACACCGCATGCAAGTTTATAAATGTGCGGTATGGAACTGGGTACGATTTTCCTTGCTGGAGTCCTACCTTGAGTGGATTAATGTTAGTGCTTTCAGTGCCAGTGTTAACCAGGAGTCCGTCAGGGCTTCAATTTCTGCTCGCAATTGCAACCAGGCTTCCCTCTTGGCTGGGCCCAGCAGACCTGAAACGTAGGGGAACATTGTTTGGGTTGGAGTGGCCCTCAGAATACCACTGAAATTTTCAAAATTTACCCTGACCAAGTGGTGTGGCGTGTGTGCTCACGGAGCACGCACACACAAACGTGGAACACGCAGAGACGCTCAAACATGCAAACACCCACACGGTCGGAGGAAAAGTCATTTTTAAGGGCACAGTTCTGCACAGAACAGCGCTGCCCGTTGAGGGATTACCTCCAACGTTATTTTTGTAGGTGGTGTAGATTTCTTTTACTCGTCTGTAGCGGAAGGCCAGTTTTCTCATCCAGTCCACGCCTCCGCGCACGCCTGTGGCCAAACATAGGTTGGCGCTGGTCGCTGCTGCGTGGAAGCCATCGGCGCCGAAGTTATACGTGCTGCGATAGGGACAAGAAAAGAAGACGTGTTTTAGCGGAAACTGCGTCACTGCAGATGAATTACGAAGGCGTGCGAAGTGAAATCGTGGACCCAGAACATTATTAAAGTGTGGTTTTACCTCAGATCCTGGCCGTTGTCATCAGAGGACACGTCATCGATGTGGACCTGGTCACATTCCTGCAACACACAAGGTTGTTGAGGTTGAAACCAGGAAATGTTTTCAGACAGGAGACTCTCAAAGGTCAAAGTTCAAATAAGCAATCTGATCTAAATTTTAATAAAATAATTGAATTTAATTTCTTAGATTGAATTCATTTGCTGTAGAGCTGCACTCTCCTTGTATTTTCTCTTTTTCTCATTCATTTTTGGGAGAACATTTTATCAGCAGAAAACTAATTCAGAAGGGGGCCGTAATGCAACACACAGAGTATAAGATAATAAGTGGAAGAGTAAATCAGCCTAAAGTGAATCACCGTTGTTAGACATAAATCTTGAAGTAAAAGACTGTTGTTGTTTGACCCAATCTGAAGTTTTCTAATAAACAATGGGACACATTCCAATCCAATATAATTGGCCTGTGACAAATGGTTTTCCATGTGATGAACAGCTCCCATCACAGGACTGTCTTAGTCCGTGACATCCACCATAGTGTGTCTCCACAAACTAAAAAGATCATAAGTTAAAGCTACCAAATCTGTGCATCAATGGGCGCAGATTCAGATTATCCACAACCTTTTATCAGCTCGAAACATGAACCAGTTTGGCATTTTAACTCCTAAAGTAGTAGATTATGTTGTAGCTGAAAACAACATATAAAGAACACAACAATAATCCAATAATCTGTCTCTGTGTGAGAGCATCTTCTCTGCCCTTCTGGGGGTCCTGGGCTCATCTTGGAAAGGTAGAGGGATTCTGCAGCTCTGCACTGATTTCCACCAGTACAAAGTAACACAATCCAGACTTTCTGGTAAATGTAACCTACTAGAAAAATTGAACCTGATGCTAACCGCCAATGAAATTATGACCCCTGATTGCTGCTGCGCCACACACCAACACAGCCCCGGGGCCAGTCAGCAGGACCGGCCGGCCCCGGCAACAAAGAGCGCAGGAGAACGCAGGCTAGAAAATCTGTTATTAGTTTTCCATTTATAGGAACAATCCAGTGCCTCCTGCTTCCTCCCCCTCCCCCACTCAGAAATGTGAGGGAGTCCTGCCTTGGCACTGAGATCAACACATTTCACATGGGATTGGGGACAAAGAGTAGCAGTGGTGTGGTAACAGGGGTTAAAGGATAGCCTTTAAAAGTGAAAAAAAAAGATTATTGAATTTGGTTTGAGTCAGTTTTAGTATGGAAACATTTATGTCCTCTTTAATAAACTTAAATACTCTTTTTTGGGAGGGTGGCACTTTCTAACTTCCTCTTGTCGTCATCACAACTTCACCTGCTCAAAGTTATGTGAGACACATTTCCTCCACTTGTAGGAAAAAAAAAGATTTTGTGTGCTTTTTAATTCGATTTAATCCGGCTGTTAAGACACCCAAACACGGAAAAGGACTTCCTTGTTTTAAGTCAATCTAAGTAAGGCCAAATGCTGACGTTATTGCATTCCTCTCTAATGCTGGAGCAGGGTAAGGGCTTTGGACCGTAAACCTTTTTTATTTTACTGGTTCCCCTCTGAACAAATTTTTCATCTCCCTGGATTTGTGGGGAGGGCGAGGGGGGAGAGAGACGTGAGGAGAAACTCAAACCAGCTGTTCTTTAACAGAATTAAAATCTTGACCCCCAACCCCAGCTCTAATGCAGCCATTCTCTCGCCAAGCCTCTCCCAGCAAGCCCCGAGATCCAAAGAGGAAAAGACTTTGACCCCGTGACTCCTTTCCCCTCCTCTTCGGGGCTCCGGCACCCCGATAAGGGGGTGGGAGGGCAGAGAGGTGGATATGGAGGAGAGCAGCGAGTGAAACACAGAGGGAGAGAGTGAATTCAAAGTGACCTCACATGGAGTGAGCTCTGAGACCCGCGTTCCAGAAGATGGACTGCCAATTGAAGTTGAAGTACAGGCGGGGGCTCTCAGCTTTGTTGGCCAGACACTCACCAGGCGAAACGTTAATAGATGAAAGACGCAGCAATTTGTCCCAGCTTGATGATCTATTGGCAATTATTTATGTTTGTAAATTATGCCAAAAGATTCCTCCGATCAGATCAGGAGTACTGATGTGCTTAATTCCTTAAGTCGTGCCGGCATGTCTGTTTGTTTAGGAAAACAAACAAACAAAAAAAAGCAGAGTGGTTTAAGCTTCATTTCAAAGACCTCCCATTCTGATGCAATAGAGTGGAATGCTTCTATTATCCAGTAATGACCTGCTGATGAGTCAAGCACAATCACCCAACCCTTTGTCTTTGGTAGCGGGCCATTGAGTTCCATTCATTTGGTTTATCACTGCCTAATTGCATGGCGTCTGCTTGAATCACAATGGTTTCCTGTTTTATTCCAAAAGGTCATGAGGGTTTTTAAAAAAAAATCAAAACAGGTTCAGTGTGCAATAATTAGGACCAACTAGAGCCATTATGCTGCTTGCTGAAAAACTCTTTTTCTCAAGATAAAAAAGCAGATTTTTTTTATTTCTTTAAAATGCTTACACTGCTGAATGAACAGCTCAAAGGACGTTGTGACATTTGGATATTTCTGAATGGCCCTGTTGGTGTGTGCTGGGAATAATAAGTCAGCACAGCTACTGCTGGAAAATCACACAGCCTCCAACAATTACAGTTCCCAGCTGGGGCTGGCATAAACCTCTGCACCGGCTGCCTGGGAGGAGCGGGGAGGCTAATAGAGGAGGTGGCTGTGGCTAATGTCGTACAGTAACCCTTACACGCACTCATTAGGAGCCACTTCTGAAGGCCTCGTAAACACCACACAGACGGCAGATGATGCAGGTTCAAGTCGGTTAACTACATTCATATGTCTGCATTAGTATGGAACACATGAGGGACTGGAGGTTTTTTTTTCTTACCCTCCGATGGACTTACTGGCTGAGGTTGTGAACTAAAAACACATTTTTTTATAAACTATTTAGCAGGAGTTCATAAATGGAATTTTCCTTCAAAAGCCGTGTGTCTGTAAAAAAAAAGATTTCACTCATTATATCTAGCTAGTTAAAGTATAGGGTGGTGTTTTCTTCTGCAGGGCTGCCCTCTACCTGTGGAGGCGCCATTAAGTATGTGGTTCCTCTAGGGCTTGAACCAGTTCATCATGTGACCTTGCGAATTAATTATAATAATTTATGTTAATTTCTTTTTTATTGATATATTTATGCTGGGCAAAGCCACTAAACTCATGTGGCAGGACAATCAAATTGTGTTTATAGCACCCCCAAAGGAAAGACAGGGGAGCTGCTTTTTTCTGGCTTTTTGAGACAAAACCCAAAATTGCTGCAAACTGGACTTTTGGGCACTTGAACGTACTTTCACCGACTTAGTGAAATGAAAAAACAACAGGCTGCTACTATTTTGTTTGTCCAACACTAACAATGGAATGGCAGGCCTTGGACGTAGTGACATGTTGAGAGGGAAATGGGATTCTAAGAAGTCCTTAGAAGCGTTTGAACATCTCTTTTCCATCAAATCCCCCCTGTTCTGTCTTCACCAAGCAAACAGTGGTCTCTCTAAAATCTACAATCACCACTAACTCGCACCAGATGTTTCTACTGTATTCAAGAGCGAAGACCCTCCACCAGAAGCCGTGGCAATTACGCTTGTTTCTTGCTGCTAAATTCCCCGTCAGTGTTGTCCTGTGTGTTTTGAATACAATCAGAGCACAAAAAGAATTTACTTGTTGGGGAAAAATTACACAACTGAAGCCAGGATGAGTGCATCGCTGCACTGTTGACTCACTGTCTGCTCCTCTCGCTGTCTCACCACTGGTCCGCTGACAACTTCTCACTGGGGAGGAAGTTATCAGAGCCCTCTTTGTTCCCTTGGTATCTGTCATTAAGCAATCAGCAGTGACGGACTGAGTCTTCCTGTAGCCCTGGAAAGAGCTCAGAGTGGTGACTGCTGCAGTCAGAGCCAAAGCAGAGAGGAAAAACCCTCGGCAACGCACGTTCCCAAAACACAGGAAAGGCCGCACAATCTGAACTCATATTTACACTTTTTTTTTTCCTGGACAGCAAAGATTGTGCACCACAACAGCTCCAACCTGCTCTAGGGACCCTTCATTTTCTCATCTCCTCACTCAGGTGGACAGCTGGGAGGGGCGTGGGCTGTCAATGGCAGCGTGAGCGATAACAGCCGTCATCACAGCATTCTCTCTGACCCTACAGCCTAATGCCATGTGAAAAAGGCTCATCCATGGTTCGCAGGTTCTCAATGCGACCACTCCACTGGCAAATGCTGTCATCTATGGCCCCAATCCTCACCCTCTGCCCCCTGTGGTCTGTGACTCCCACAAACTTCCTTCTCTGTTCCCACCACAGGCACCCTTGTCAAGGTGGAGAGGGGGCTGGGGGGTGTGGGGCAGCGAGGGTGATTACCTGGGGGTTGAACACAGGATGTGTGCAACAAAGAAAGAGTTCTTTGGACCCACTTCATTCCAATACACAATCTGTGGTTGAACAGTCACGGAATTCAAACAGCGGCGCCAAACAAAGCACAGGTACAGAGGGGTCTATGCTGGTTTTACTGACATGGGGGGGTTTTTGGTGTTTTTCCTGACATCCCCCCCGGGGGGGGGGGGGGGGATCCAGAGGTAAAGGAGGGGCCTGGGGCTAAATTTGCAGCAAAATGGTCAACAGAGTGCTATTAAAATGACTGGAAAAGTTGAAAAATAGTTAAAAGCTCCACAGGTAGGCAGTGAAAGACATAAATTAAGATATGTGCGATGGAAGAGTGGCTCCTCATTATTTCCTATTTTTGGCTGGGCGAGTTAAAACCACACCTCTGAGGAGAGCGCCATTAAATACAATATCAAATCTCAGTTGTTTCAGAATTTCCCCCCATGTAGAAAACGTGTCTGTGGAGGAACAGCCTGTTCCTGCCAAATGGAACTGTTGTTAGGAGGAATCTGTGACGGCTTCACTTGAACCACAGACCACACTGGGCAGGTGCTGCGTCGACTTAGTTAAATGTCACGACAAGAAGAGACCTTTCATATCACAATTTGTCACCACACAGACAGCTATAATTTCCCTGAACACACGGCCCTGACTGGTCTGACGTTAGGATGGTGGATGTGAGCCTTGAGTGATGTGGAGATCTGTGGAACAAAGATTGACAAGGTGGCGTTCAAAACTCCACTTTCTCTTTCTAGTCATTCCAAAACACATCAGCGGTCCCGCCCCGAGTACTGATGGAGTTCTGTCCAGGATGTGACAGAAGTGCTGCCTCAGTCGCCAGAAAAATTATAAAAGAACCACATCAGTGTATTTGGCTCTAAAGAGCACCATCTGACAAAACACACCATGGATGGAAGAACCCGAGTTTTTGGTCATAATTTGGTTGTAGAAGCAGATTTTATTTTAAAAATAAAATTGAGGAAAACAAACTAATCTGGCTTTCCCAGGGAATATAATTTCAAAATAAGAGAAAAAAAGGAGAAACTCCCAATTATATTATAAAGATGGAGAAGTTCAGAGAAGTTTAACCTCATCATATACAGGGAAATATCTTAGTCTGAGTTTTTACCCACATTTTATCTAGTCGAAAGTCACTAAGAAGTCACAGTGGGGCATAAAAAGGAGGGGAGTGGGCCACATAAAGCCATCCAAGTGCAACAACTGGCCCAGGCCTTATTGTGGACATGTCTGTTCTATAATGTGGGACATAAAACCAACAGACTCCATCCAGACTAGGGGGCTCTGGAGGGTCGTTTCGGACATGAGGAAACGATGACTGTGCGTTTCCGAGCATCTCTCATTAACAAGACTGACAAAGAGGGACTGAGATTTTAACCTGCGATCACAGTCATAAAAGATTCGCAGAACTGCTCTGTGTCTGCATGTGTGTGTGTGTGCGTGAGATTGTGTTGCACACAGCACACAGGCATCAGATAGCTAATTTAAAATGTTCCCACCTTTGGAGAACTCTCCCCCTCTTCTCCTTATGAGTGTTTTGCCCTTGTGCCCTTTATCCTTTAGACCGAGAGGGTTGTTTTCTCACCCTGGGAGGGGGGAGACGGCAGCCCCTGTCCCCCACTGTGAAGGGACTCACGGGGGGGCTCGGCCTACAAGAGCGAGGCCTCTGGTTCCCACATACTGCTCGTGGTGTCAGAGTTGGGGCTGCACAGCACACCTACAGTAAACTCACACCCTGAGTCACAGCAGAGCTGTCAGTCTTCACTGGGCTTCGTTACACACATCACTGGATCGTCAACGAAAACCAAATTTAACTCCACATTTCTGGGTTAAAAGAAGAGACCTCTGTAGGTCACCGTGGAGCTACTACGTTTGGACACAAATGGTTTTCTTCAAAACCATACATACCATAATACATTTAACATAATACATTTAAATGTATTTTAGTCACAACAAGGAAAAAGAAAAAAAAAGTGAAAATAATGTGTTTTCATGATTACACACACATTTTTCCAACCTAACAAGGAGAGAGTCTACATTTACAAATAAAGTTCAGCTGTTGTCATAGAAGTTTTTATGCCATTTACTGACAGGACATTCCTCAAAATAAGGTCATCAAAACAATTCCAGGTGATAGAAGAAAAAAAACATCAACAATTTATGGTGGAGGGTAAGGGGGACGGGGGCATATGAGACCAAAAGCTGACTACACAGTACTGGATCTGTTCCAAAAAGGATAAAAAGACAGAAAGAAAAACACTAAAGGAAGTGAAGGAATTCCAAAGCAGGAAGTGTCTGCTCCCTTACATGTGTCAGAAATGACCTGTTCTTCTTGTTTGGCCAACTATGAGCAGGGATTGCTTGGCATAAAATGGAAATTAAAAAAAGCAGTAGCTTAAAACTGTTGATTCTAATAAAACACTAAGATAATTTTTTTGACTGAAATGTGATCAAACTAAATATCACGATACATAACATGACACAAAAAACATAACATGTTTAAAAAATATTATTATTAATTTTTGTAACAATTATTCTACTTGGTAATCGACTTAGCAAATAACAAAAAAAACATTTTTTTGGGGAAAAAAATTAAAATAATAGGGAATTGTTAATATTGCTGAGGTTCCCTTCAAATACATCTAAAGGTTGATTAGAAATTAAAATAGGTTAAAAACGGACTAATTCATGGATTAGGTTACATGTCACGCCTGCTGCTATGAAAACATATTCTGCAGGGAAACGAAGAGTCTAAGATTAAATCAGTGCAGATAGTACTGGCTTACATTACTTTACTGAGTCTTACTACACTGACAGGATACGGTTGGTGATAACGATACTGTGTTGTTCATAGAATAACACAATGGACCGACGGAGGGACAATGGATGAAGAGATTTATGTGTCTGGGATTGATGGATGAACTGACGGATGGACGGATGGATGGGAAACCTGTTGGAGGACGAGCAATTATTCTGGAACCTGTTATGAAGCGAGGGGGAGTGTAGTGATCTGAGAAGAGGTTATAGGAGAGAGAGAGAGGGAGAGGGAGAGAGAGAAAGGGGAAGGAAGAAACTGATCCCTGTTGACCCCTTCGGCATGCCCTCTTTCTTTTTATGACTTTCCTCTGGACTGTCACTAGAGAGCTCTATGAACACATTCACTCATTCACTCACAATAGAGAACCAGGGGCTAAAAATAATGTTTACATAGAATTAATATAAAATATTTATTTATAAAAAACTATGAACAGATTCCTAACATACCAAAAAAATAAAAATCTTTTTTTTTGACCAATGAACATAGTTCTACTAATTTATCACAACTTTGAAAATATCATAGAAATGACATTGAGGTTTTTTTTTTAAAATGAGAAGATAACACCATGTTTGTAAAGATCAGGTTTAAAAGGAGCATCAACCAAAGGTTAGGATGAGCAGTCATGTCAAAGTACCATGGATGGAACCATTGGCTGGTAATGAAATATTTGAAATGTTTATATTTTTCTAATAAAATTACATATTTGTAAAAGCCTGATGCCACCATCAAGACAAGAACCAGACCAAAATCACCTTATTTTACTGACAAAAAAATATACTTTGAAAACCGCCATCTGAACCGGTCTGTGAACAGAAGTGTTCATAATGTCTTTCAAAAATGATGTCAGTATGTAAACAGTGGTGGTTGTTTCTCTGTAACACAAATATTTCTACCTACAAATACAGCTGAGCTGCACACGAAGTGGCAGCAGAAGGAAGCAGTGTCCAAATATAATGTTCCTGGGTGGAGGCTGGCAAGACAGCAGTGTTAGGAGTCACTCACACACACACACATACACACTGTGAGGCCACTAACTCTGCACCTGTGTTTCTGCACAGCCTCTGGGGTCTCCCTTTATGGCTTAGACTAAATTAGATAGACCATATGCATTTCTGCACATGCTTAAATACATAACTGCCGCTGGCCACGGTATTTATAGCCGGACTCTGTTTAGCTCTATCATAGATGGAGAACTGTAAATCAGCAGAGAGGAAGCACAACTGGTTAGGCATCAGTGAGAACTGGCACTTAACACTCACCCTGGGCCAACTCACTTTTAGGAGAGGACGGCTTAGAGAACACCGTCACTCCTCTTCTGCTGCCATTATTAATGACAGGGTGTGTGTGCGCTGCCCTCTCTTATGTTGCACTTTGCAGATATGCAAAAAAAAAAAAAAAAGAGACAAAGCTGCTCCGACACGAAAGGCAAGTGTCTTATAAAGTTAGTCAACGAGAAGGAACCAGAAGAACTAGATGAGTTGCTTTTTTAATAATTCTATGAGCGGCTGGAGCTGCCAAGTCATCTGTGCGTAGTTTCATCACACATGAAAAGAAATGAAAACACGCTGCAGATGTTGAGCGAAAACCACATTTAGGAATTGTCACAATCTGCCATCTCTCTAAGTGATTGGGGCACTTCCATTAAAATAAAGTGCAGCTACAATGGACTCTACATGGGCCGGGCATAAGGAAATATTTAACCAGCCAATTGCGGACAATTAACTTTGATCACGATGACTGCGTTTGGAATCGCAGTCACTCGTCCCTCGTCTGTCTTGCCCTGTTGTTTTCTCTCCTCCACCCCCGTTTAAAGAGCCGAAACTCGGCGATGAGTAATGAGACTTGTCGGATTGGCCGCAGATCTCTTCACACTTAAGTATCAAACAAAACATTTTCTCTAGCATGAGGTCAAAAGTAAACAGGACGCTGAGAGAAAATGCTGGGTCAGTGGGATCAGATTAAAAATGAAAAAAAAGAAAAGAAATCAGAGTCAGAGAGAGGATGAACAGATGTAGGCCCAGGAATCAGGGATAGGAAATTTAGATCGGCAGCAAGTGTAAACTGATGGAAGTACAAGATGAATTGCTTTATTCATTGCTCAACTCGATGAATTGTATCCCGACACACACCCACACACACCTCCTTGTCCCTGATGCCTCTATTCCTGTGCCCCGGGGGCAGATTTTACACTAGCCATACATGAACTAAAGGGGTGAAGAGGCGTGGGAGGGTAGATGGCTGAGAGGATTTAGTGCTGTGACGGAAAGGGCTGTGTGGTGGAGGTGGACAACGACACCCGGCACACAGCATGACACACAGACGGTCCGGCCACAGAAACACTAGAGCTTGACAAATTGCCGCTAGCCGCTAAGGGAGGTGGGGGAGGTGGAGGAGGAGGCAGGGCTGATGACCCAGGAACGACAAAGACTGACAGCACATGTAAAATTCATGGAGTCCCATGGGCACGGAGGTAATTCTTCACCAGCGGTCGACTGATCAGCAGGGAAAGAATCCACACCATAAAACAATTGTTGCTCTTTTGCTTAGAAAAGTCCCTGAAAATATCTCTTTCAAAAACAAAAACATGAACCCACCTCTAAGTCGTTGAAGAACAAGTGCGTGTCGGCCAAGTTGAAGATCATTTCTTCCATCCTCAGACCTAATGATACAGATGTCGGTGGGTCCTGAAAAACAAGGAAAAAAAATTATAAACATTTCTTATGACGACTTTTTTGCTGCGTTTTCCACGGCAGGAGATTCCAATAAAATAAGACCTCGGCTGCACTTGAAAGTTTCAGCGTCTATTAAAGATGCCTGAAAGGGACCAAAATAGTCATGAGAAATGCCACAGACTTGAAGAAATGCACTAAAAGCGTGTCTCTCCTCAGGAGGAGGGGACTCTCCTCAGACCAGCTTCAAGGTCACTCAGGAGGAGGGGACTCTCCTCAGACCACCTTCAAGGTCACGTCATAAAACGTGTTCTCGTACTCCTGCTGATGCATCGTGTTGTCGCCCGATGTGAAAGACGCTAAAGTGTTTTTATTGATATGAAAAATATGCACGGCTGTAATTTTTTCTTTAAATGATGATCTTTGTCAGAAACGTGAGCCCTGCTGTAATGGAGCGATGGTTGCACTGTCTGTAAGACAACACCCTGAGAGGAGGGAACTTCACTGTAAATAGTTAATGAGCTTGTGACAGTGTGTTGCTTTTTTAATCTTTTAAACTTAAAACTAATCAGAAGGCACAGTTCTTAACTTTTAAGCCTTGGGTAAAACTATCTTTAAATCAAATTTTTCATTAACTAAAGGCTTACAATCAGATATATCCCACCAAGTCAGGGAGTTGAACTTTTTTTTTTAATTTTGAATTTAATTTCTTGATGATGTAACAGACAAGATTTTTTCTACTTAAATGGAAATTCTACACAATTTCTGCCTTTTGTCATGTTGGGGAGGTTATTCCTGCACTGATTAGACAGGTAGATGTTAGCCTAGCAATAGCTGAAAGTTAGCCAAAACATATAACATCCTAATTATTTGGAGGAAAAAAAATCACATAACAGATTAGCTCGGTACAAATTGCACTAAAACAATGAGATATATTTATTTTTTGCCTTCTGTACCTTTAACGTCTGCCACACACTGTCAGGCTTCAGTACGTGCTGCAGACACAGGCCTGACAGCAGCAGGAACCAGAGCTGGGATTATGGCGTTAAACCACCTGTAGACACACCTGAGCTCTCTGCTGATCGCCTGTCACACCACACAATAGTTATGTTTCCACTAAAATGACTGGAGGGGACAAACCACACAAGTAGAGCTCAATCCCCACTTGGAGGGGATTTCTCTGCTCCTCTAAATTTGGCAGGTCAAATCAATCTTTCAGTCATATTTCATCAAAAAAAAAATTAGCTCCCACGTCACTCACATGCCAGAAGACTGCTCTTCCCAAAGTCAGATTTGGCTGTGATTTAGTCTTAGGGCCTCGTTTGGTGGGAAAAGTCAGCCCACTCTGACTGCAGCGAATCCTTTCCAATTAAATCTAAACAATCAGTCAGTGAGGGAGTTAAGAATACAAGCAGGCCAGAAGGCCAAAGTGCTGCTGCTGTCACTGCTGCGGCACCACCTGTCCTGAGATGTCAGTGCCATCCACGGGGGCGCCAAATACCCCCTCCCCTCCTCCTTATACCAATAACACCCCCACCCATTTTAAGCTCCGGGGCTCTGTCCAGCCCAATATCAGCCCAGCTGGCCTCAGCCGTCAGCTTTATGGGGCTGAGCTGCCTTGATGCCAATTAAAAGAGTTGATAAGAACGGCAATGTGTTTATATGTGAGAATGACGGAGGAAGAGAGGACAACAAGGGTGAGGGAGAGAGACAGAACGGTGGGGAGGTCAGGGAGAGTGAGAGAGTGAGAGAGAGAGAGAGAGGGAGAGAGTTCTGATGTGCACTCGCTCAGATACACGTCTATTTATAGAAAGCTCACAGCAGCAGCAGTCAGGGGAGAAACAGGATTTGGTAACTTTTTTATTATTTGGCCGTCAGGACGGGGACGGCACAGACGACAGGACCATGTAGTTGGACGTGGTTGTAACGTCAGGCCGTCCAGAGCTGTAGTTCACAGTTCTGGAGCTATGACAGGGATTGGGGTCACCTGACCTGTGGTTTTCAGTGAATAAACTGATTTGTTATGTAGTTATGGTATTATGCTGGAGAAAAAAAAAACAGGGAACAAAGGAGAAACTAGAGTGAGAGGGACTCCAGCGGCTGTCGCATCCTATCGCTGATGGAATGGGCCCTTATGGAGTCAGGAGTGTTTCCTGTTTCAGAGGAGCACACTGGAGACGATGTGTATATGTGTGTGTGTGTGTGTGTGTGTGTGAATGCTTGAAAAGTCCCTCGTCACTGATCTGCAGCTCCCTAAGCCTCGGCATTTTCTTTCTTTACCCAGCATGCAGCACTGGGAATAGAGTAAATAAACAGTGGAGGGTCGTGGGGCAGTACTTTTTGCCCCCAAAACAAAACACTAGCCCCTCCTCCCCCCGCCACCATCAAATGTCCCAACTATACCAGAACAAAGGCTTTGTGAGACACTAATCTGACACACAAGGAGCAATATATCATTTTCCGGCCTCAAAACCAGACACTTTCCCAGTCAAAACAACTGGGGATTGGAGATACTACATTCATCATGTACAGTCCTGGGTTTCTGATGAAATGATGTCTTTTCATAGAATTGCGCATAAATCTGAGTAAGCTCTAAAACATCCTGGACCTCAACAAAACCATGAGAGTGGGATTACGATGCTTTTCCCAAACATGTTTGTTTGGACGGTTTAAATATAGAAATGCAATTTACATGGAACAACAAACAGCACGGCCTGGAGAAGCAATCTTCATTTCATCAGCATAAACACCAAAAAGAACTGTTTAATTGTTTGTATGTATGTATGTATCATATATTTGTGTTTTCATCCTTTCAAAGCCTATTAACATTTTAATATTAACTTTTAATGTAAAACATTTTACATAAAAAAAATCGAGCTGTCAGCATCAGAACTGGATCCTGTTCAATGTTAGTTTGAAACACAGCTTCAACCTCAGGCAGTCTTTAAAACTGGGGACAAACTCTCTTCCAAAAGTCATGACTAAGGTGATTTAAATCCCTCTGTGGACTCAACTGGAGACCAACTCTACTGTAGGTGCAGAAGACTAAAATCATTCGGAGAATTGTGAGTAATTTACCAAAAACCAATGGGGAAAACTACATTCAATGACTGCCGTCTGTTATTCAGCTTAAGTAACACAGGTTTTCCTGACAAAACTAGTATGGACGTCAAGTATTGTTGTATAAAAACAAAATCTCTGCTCTCAACAAAAGCACTTGTGAAATAATAGAGTCAGTGTCTGGAGGACATTCTTGTCTGAAAGCAATGAATGGAGCAGCACTTCATTAAACTAATAATATGGCATTTTTGGGGGAGAAAGGAAAACTTAAGATGTGTCAATAGACATCCCGAGTGCAACTGTTGCGAGGCCCTCCAGCCGAGCCTAGACAAAGCCGTGCATATCAGCAACAGCTGCACCCGGCACTCAAATATTTGCCCAGCCTTGTTGGAACTATTAAAAAAAGAAATAATTATCTGTGCCCCCAGTTCCGCTCCATGCTGTCAGGGCAAAGTGAAATCTAACCTCCTGTTAATGCCCTCCACCAAACCCCGACCATCTTCTATGTTACGCCCTCCCCCCTTTTAATATTTATGTGGTTTGCTGATAAAGTAAACCGCTGCTGCCACAGTCTGATGTCACTCACCCGTCCATATCTGTTGGCGTAGGAACCCGTAAGCAAGGAATGGAAAATGATGATTGTTTCATCCAAGTCCCAGATGAAAACTCTCTGCATGGAGAAAAAAAAAAAAAAAAAAAAAAAAAAACAAAGAGAAAAGAGGCAAAATCAATGGTGCACTCTGTAGGACTGCAAGGTGATCCTCCTGGTCAATAGGCCAGGAGCATGTATTTGTGAGCCACAGGGACCCAGATCCATTTGCTTGGGTTGCCCCCCCCCATCACCGCCACCAAAACCCCCTCGCCTTTTGCCCTTTACATTACAGTAATCAATAGTGACAAACTAATTAACTAGATATGTTAACATGCCATGATGTCAGTGCTATAACGGCTGCTATTAACCCTGTTCAAATTCATATCATATTAATGAAGAGCCTTCTGATTAACCACAAGGTTATTTTGACATATGTTCCCCACTGAAGGAGTTTAGCATCATTGGGTGTCGTGGTTCCACGCTGTTAGCCACCGCTGGCATCCGATCTTCCAATAAAGCCAAATTTATGCTCTTCACTTTAGAGGTGACTCCCTCATTCACATGCTCTATAAAAAATTCAATGGGAACTTTATATACGGTGTGTTTAGCAATCTCACAAATTCCACACTGCATTAATAATGAAAAAACTGTTAAGGGAATCAACTATTAATGCTCATCAAGTGTTAACGCTGGCGTGGCAGCCATAAAATAAGAAGATTAGTGTCCCGTGTGCCTCAGACGGGGCGAGGCAGTCTGTCGCCGAGGCAGCGCTCTCACCCTACCTCAAGGTCAGAGTCGGGCGGCGGTGATGGGTTGTTGTTCCTTCTCCCCCGGCCACGTGACTTTCCATCCGAGGCCCGGCGCAATCGATCTGAATCTGAATCTTTAATGGGGGTTGATGGGCTGTGGATGGTACTGTACTCTCCTGAAGGGAAGGAGGAAGGAGAGCAAGAAAAAAAGATGAGCTATTGTTTTCTATAGCAAAAAAAAAAAAAAAAAAAAAAAAAAAAAAAATGTTGAGCCACCATTTGTCTTGATGTAGGACAGACAGCTTCCTGGCACATTATTCAGGGATTAAGCAAGTAGCAAACATATCATAAATCAGTTGCAGGACACACTGTAAAGCCTATTGTTCTCCATATTGATTTAATAATGAAGAGGTAACGGAGCACATGTCCAGTAGAAAAAGCAAGGATGTACTTTATTTAAATTGGATGAGTGTGCATGAAATGATGTTTAGTTTTAGGTCTGACGCACACGGGGGTTGATGGATGACAATTTCAAAAGCAGTAGTATAAATGGTTGGAGGCACTTGTAAAGATACAAGCAGCACTCAACTCCCACATGATGCATTAAAGGCACCAGAAATCATCGGAAAATCTGCATCTGCTCAGTTCAGTCTGCCGCCTGAATATGCTTTCAGTGTTAGCTGTCGGCTGAGAACGGCCCTGTGTTTCCATATGCTGCTACCATGGTTTCATAGGAGACACTATAAATAGGAGTATAGACCAGTTAACCCCTCAATAGAACAAAAAACTATAAAAAAATGAAAAAAAAAAACATTTTTCTTAATTTATAGAAATATAATAATATAATAGTTTCGAGTAATATTTAACAAAAAGTATTGCCCTTCTCCAGGACACCTTTTACTGCATTTAATGGGAATCCAATTAAAAGTATGTAATTTGTTTTTACAACATTTTTGCAGCAAGACAGTGTTAAGAAAGAAAGAAAGAATTCCTGACTTCTACCTGCTGAGTTGTCTGTTAGGGCTTGGCTGGTGATGGCAGCGGGTGGCTCTTGAAGGGTGTAGGTGGTGGTGGTGGAGGGTGTGCTGGGGCTGGTGTTATTACTCGTCATGTAGGGAGACGTGTACGGCGAGCTGTTGTAATACTGAGCGTACTGGCCCTGACCGAAGGTGGGGTAACTTGGGTATTCCTGCAGCAAAAAAGACACAGGTCATTGGTTTTCTGGACAACAAGCAGAAATAACAAATACAACAAGAGGTGAGGACATTTCTGGATGAAAGAAGTTCTGCTGAAAATGACAGAAGCAAAGCTAGAGAGAGGGTAGCAGAGTGGAGGAGGAGAGGTGGGCGATTTGGCAGAGTAATGTGAGATATGCCCTGCACCAGTGTGTTGCTACTTTACAGTGCAGATTCCAAAACATAAATGCAAACACATGTCTGCTCTGTCCTGCATCTGGACAATGATCTCTCTTTTTTTTTTGCATATGCTCCAACTCTCTCTGGCATAATGCATACACGCTGGCAGAAGGTGGAGCAGACGGTCCTACATACGAAGCACTTTGACGTTTTTGAGAGATTTATGTTTGGAAGTGTCACGGATGAAATGTAACATATTGAGTTTGCATGTTTCATATAGATTTTCCAAGCAGCAGGGGGAAAGAGGTCTGCGATTCAGATGTATGTGCAGAGATGTCTGCGTCTCGATACCAGATCAGATCAGAGCAGAGCAGCAGAACACGGAGGACGGAGGCCACGGCTACCTGTTGCGTGTTGTTGAAGCCATTGGAGTTTGTGAGGGAGTTGTTTCCTGCGTACAGTCCGGACGTTGTTGTGAAAGTGCCACCTTTAAGACAGAGGACGAAAAAATTGACTCTTTTATACAACAGTATATCTGGGACAAGTGCCTGAAAATAAAATATTGGGCTCTTTTGTAAAACAGCTAATTGAGGCGGTGAACAGAAGGAGGCCTGAGGCCACTTCTGACAACAGTGACCTTATCTTTCTCCTCTTCCTCCCTTATCAGCGATTAGATCAGGTCTGATGAATGATGGGAGGAGAACACTGAGGGGTGAGGCACACAGACAGAGCCTGTTTCCAAAGGCTCAATGAATATGCATGTCCCTCTTTATATTCCCTCAAACACTGCTCCTCTGGGGAAATTAAGTCATTCGCGGCGGTTGATAGCATCTAATGGCTTAATTATAGACATGATGAAGAGTTACAGATGCCGAGACAGTGGCCGCCCTCGGGGTCACAATGTCTTTTGTCCACCTGCAGCGTCATGTCAGGCCGTGGAGGGAGATAAGAAGCAGATTTGTACTGTTGTCTTTTTTAACAATTGAAAATTCAACTTCAATCATAAATCACTGAGGGAAGGGATTTTATTTTGAAATTCTTGCAATATTTTATAATTATCCCTTCGGAATGCTGGAAAACAGCAGGGGAAATATTTAGGTTTAGTCAGAAAGAAATAATTTATAAAATATGGAGAATAAAATAACTGTTTTTTGTATTCTAGACATTTAGATTGTAATTGTTGATCAGGACTTTGGGTCAATGTCAGTTAATGTCTTTTAGATGTGTCTACATTCTTAATACTAATAGAGTGCTCTGTAATGAGGGCCCTTAAAAAAGATAAGCAGACATCCTCTGTACCATTAGTGATAAAAATAAACTCATTACATAGCAGGACAATTTAATACATTTTCCATCACAAATCCTCAATCAAGATTTTATTTCCTAATAATTAGAGATAATAAGTAGAAATATACATTAAGTCGTGCAACTATTGTGCAAGTTCCAGAGTTTTATTCTCACTAGTTTTGAAAGTTGACTGGAGCATTTTTTTAAAAAACAACTTTGTTCTTGTAACAGACTACAGACTACAGAGCATTTTTAACATGACATGTTATAATGTCAGGTTAGTTGGACTTAATGACATACATGCATACAATTATGTAAGTCATCATACAGCATGAATGCCTTCAGTCATATTTAATGAAACACTAGAAGGTTATGGTGGCGTGATGACCTTCAGCAATGCTGCCCTCTACTTGCATTTTCACTTTTTCTTTAATAATATGGAACAAGTTAAATATAAATAAGTAGGAACGTCTCCCTACGCCGCAGGCTCTGTGCTGACCAACACTTTTCCTGCCTGCTCTACCTACAGAACACCAAGTAGCAACAGTGATGTTTGGGCAGCTAAAGACGACGGCATCACTCCAGCGAACACCCGAGGGGGAGATAAATTTACTGTTCCTAAATGGGGGCGTAATTACACTTTTGTTCATGGAGACAAACAGAGTGAGTCCCTTTCATCCTCTGGCCATTGGCCCCATCAGGAGGGCCCTCCCACACCGTGACAAACGTGAAGCAGGCTTTAGACCAAGGGGGGAGGATTGGAGAAACACTGGACTGTCAGGGGGAGGTTGTCACACGAGGTAGAAAAAATAAGATGTGATGCTGTGTTTTGCCCGGCCAGTAAACTCAGAAGTTGTGGTTGAGAAGCATCCAACTCGTGACAATCAGAAGTCACAAACTATTGGTGCCTCAAACACACAACAGACAGTGACTATGGGTTTCAACAAGAACTGTTTACTTTCTTTTTGGTTTTTGTTTCAGATTTCAATCCCTTCGGGGAGAGTTTTCAAACTTTTGACAACTCTGACGAAGGTTCAACTTCAAGTGAAAGTCCAGCAGGACCAGGACAGACAGACAAAGGCAGCAGTAATACTGTGAAGGACAACAAATTAGCCTAACGCACAGTCATAAAAGCTCACACTGGTGGTGACTGAGGTTTGCTGAGTGGAGGACAAGAAGCCACATAAAAGCTGAGGGGACCCCCGCTAGCTGAGTGAGAATGAGCCTGTGCTGTTGGGGAATGGTGGTGGTGCAGGTTATAGTATGGGTGGGGGGGGAGTTCCCCAGGGGGCATGTTTTCTCTCCCTCCCCCCTGTCCTGCTCCAGTTAGTTCACTCACTCAGGACCAGACATCATCCCTCCCTCTTCTCCTCCTCCTTCCCTCCTGCCTTCTGGCTCCACAATTGGAAGTCCATTTGCTTTGCTTGATCAGTCCCCTCGCCGTGGGCTATGTCTATCATCAGTGCACAATATTTGTAGCAGAAGTTTGTATGCCCCACTTGGGAATAGGCGATCAAGTCCAGATGGGGCTCTCCTTTAAAAAAAAACAAAAAGCAAGCCAACCCAGGTTTGGGCTTCTTCAGCTCTCGCTGCCACTGGGGCAAAATGCTGGAATCCAATTATTCACCTAATTAGCATCTGCTCAGTCTCACCGTGAGCTCAGTCTCATACTTTCTACACATGCGTCTGAAGTTTGAGGCTGTTCCTGTGTGTCCACAAAACAAGGAAGAGCGAGAAGTATCTGTGTCTTTTTCAGGGTTTGCTGCCCCAACTTTAGCTGCCACACAAAGCTCCATGGCATTGGACATGAAAGCTCGGAGCAAAAACATTAATCTAATTGTCCGCTGCCATGACAGCTGGCTACAGGCTGGTGGCAGCGACGCAGACAGGGTGGGAGAGAGTATCAGATGTGGAAAAATACTTTTTTTGGTTGGGACACCCAGGCCTGACGCACGTCGCCTGGGCAGATCAATAGGTGAGAAAGAGTAATGATGATGGTGTGGCAGGCGGCCAGAGTCACAGCCACAGGCACAGAGGCCAGGGCCAGAACAGTGGTCAATCTGTCATCTAACGGTGCTGTCAATTACAAACGCACTTAATGCTATGTGGGGCATCCGATAGTCAGAGATAGCAGACAGACAGACAGCCAGAGATAGACTCGGCCCGAGAGAGAGACGGACTAAGAGCATAATACTTAAAAGATGAATGGCCACATAATACTGTCATCGTGAGTTAAACCACTAAAGGCAGAAGAGCG